AATTTATAGTTAATTAAATAAAAGCAAAGCTAGTCTTAGCTAAGCAGAAAAGTAGGGCTAGTATCAGGTAGGCACCTGGACCTAATATCATGTCTTCTAGGTCCTCTTAATTATAGTATCAGTCTTGTCTACTCCGTAATTGATACTGTGACTCGCCTTGTACCTGCCAATACCCATGTCATAATACCGGCGACCCGCTCCTTCGGCCTTCCCGACTTCAAGTCTTTGTTGGAGCCCCTGAAGGTCCTCATCTCGGCCCTGATCTAGACCCCCAACAAAGGCATTGGAGGCTACTCTGTAATCAGTCTGGATGCATGACCAGACGTTCTTCTCATGTCTGGTATATTTACTGCTCCTCGATGCCCTCTGTGCACTTGGAAAATCAACGAGCAAGCATTTTCTGTTCGGCCAACCATTCCACCACTTCCCACCCGTCGTCTCGAGCCGTCTCGTGTCAATTGACACCACGTTGTACCATTATCTTTTGTTCCTTTCCCTGCAGCACTCTTTTTCTTTTCTCTCCTACAAAGGTAGCCATGCCTCGACGTAACCGCCAGAAGACTCGTCAGGGCCCTCACCGCGGCAACGCTGAGGCCGCAGCTGCTCCGAGCTCCGCCGAACCATCTCGCAAGAGGTCTTGGGCAGACTCTCAGCATGACAGCGCCACTGCCCAAGCTGCCTCGAGCTCCGTCGAACGGCCTCCCAAGAGGTCTCGGGCAGATCTGGACTCTCAGCATGACAGTGCCATTGCCAAAGCTGCCCCGAGCTCCTCCAACCGGCCTCGCAGGAAGCGTAGGGGTCACCGCCGGAAATCCAAGCCCACCCAAAAAGATGCAGCAACCACGTCGTGCAGTGCTGCCGTTGAAGCCTGTTCACCCCAAGGGGATTCTGCGGCCGCGCCACGTGACGCTGCACCAGGAGGCGCGCTCGGCGCCAAGACCACCTCGTCCCAAGTGCGGCCCGTCCATGGCCCTTCTGCCAACCAAAAACTTCGCGATCGGATCCGACAGCGGGAGGGTTTGAAACGTCTCTACACTTTGCATTGCAGAATCCTGGACCCCTACGATCCCACCACAATCGGGTCGTCTGAAGCCATCTTGGCTAAGCTCAACTCCATCACGTTTGGAAGGCGTCCCAGGAAGGGAGCGCTCGGTACCTTTGACGCGGCTGTTATTGACGGGAGCTTGCTGTTCCTCAATTTACGTGGAACCTTGCGTCCGCATATCAAGCAATCACTGGTAGCTGCTGTTTCTGCTGCCCTCGGGCTTCGGCTCAGGCTTTGCGAGGAAAAATACATGCTTCGCCTGAAGTGGTTGCTACCGTGTCGTGCACTGCGTTATGGAAGCTTGGAAGCCCTCGAAAAAATCCGCAAGGAGAATGGTGTCGTTGTGTCCCAAGTCGCTCAGCGCTTCTCAACCTGGTACGCAACATTCACAGACCTAGACCAGGCTCTAGAAGCCCTGGCAAAGAATAAATTTTGGATTGGCGGTCAACTCTCCACTGTCTGGTTTGTGGCCCTATTGTCGTATCCCACTGCCTAGCCAACCTGTTTTCTAACCTTAGATGCAGTCCCATTCTGGAGGATTCTGTCCCCATATTCTGCTACAACTGCAATGCACCTGGTCACATGCATGCCCAATGTTCCTCTAAACTAAAGCGGTGCGGAAAATGCTCTGCTGTTGGTCAGCATGACACGAAGCATTGTCATGTGACGGTGAGATCCGAAATGCGTTGCCCTAATTGCGGACTAAAAGGCCATGCTGCTTTCGACACCAACTGCGAATACCCAGCATCCAAGGCCGAATGGAAGCGAGCATCCATCGCCAAGAAAACGTTGCCGGCCTGGGCTGCTGCATTTCTGTCGGCACAAGCCATCTCCACGGGCGTCAAGCACAACCCATGGGAGGGGATGATCTATACTCAAAAGCCAGACGAGATAGCCAGGCTTCCAAAACGACGGAGACAGGCAAAGGCGGCATCGCAAGCCACGGAAGCCAGTGGCGAAGAAGCCGAGGATGGCGATTGCGAATCAATGGACGACGATGAATTGGAATCCGACGAATCTCCCAAGAAGCGAGGCCCAGGGCGACCCAAGAATCCGCCCAAGCTTGACGCGAGTCAGACTTCCCTTGACGGTTTTTGCAAACCACGCAATAGCCAGGCATAAGAGTACAAGACATTGAGTCTACTTTCTGGAGGAGAGGCGGGGGTTGGGAAGGGTCACGTTGATGGATCAATTTTCCTAGTTTTCAGTCTGTTCAACATTTCCATATATTACTATTTCCATATATTATTAACATCGTCCCTCAATGGGAATAAAAGAATGATAATTTTTTTCTGTCTAGCTCTTTAGTGTCATTCTTAATATATCGGCCGCACCCCACGTTTTTGGCAGTGTATACTATACCGTCCCCTATCCAAGCAACTGTTCAATTGACAATGATGATGGCCCTGATTAAAAGGTGTGCACGCGTGTGCCGTAGAAGAGTAAAACAAAACCCGTGACAAAACACCCATCTATGCCCCAGTGCCATCTCCATCTGCACGAGGCTCTGTCCACGGCATTTATTCCTCCACCATCAAGTCCGGTGCTGTTCACGCCGCGTCCAAGCACTGCGTTGGGCAAGGCTGGATCCGACCACGGTACCGCGGCAGCATGTTGATAATCACCCGACTTGTTCCCATTACAAAGGGAAAAAAATCCTTCATCATTATAATAAATTACTACTCGCGTAGATGCGTCACCAAGCGCAAGCATCAGGTCGAGGGCTAGTCTCGACACCCGACCAATACTATACATGAGCTCTTTGCCAACAAGGCCAGTCATGCGAATCCATGCTGCCGCGCCAGAGCGGCCTTTCCACCCTCGACGTGGGAACCGCCCTGCTGCACGTGGCCGTTGGTCTCACGACGACGACGACGAATCTAGAACCTGGAACCTTGTACCTCTCTCCATGGCCTCCTTGATGGTCTGTTGGGTGCCTTCCTTGACGGCCTCTGGCACGTCCCCCGACTTCTTCCTCATGATGGGCTCCGATACCAGCACAATCCGAGACATGAGCTGGTTCCCGTTTGCTTCCGCAATGGGCAGCTTGAGCTCAATGTCCTCGGTGCGGTCGAGCGGCGCGGGCGGCCACACCCCCTTGTTGTTGACCTCGGGGGAATAATCGCACCACTCTCTGAGTCTCTGCCTGAATTGCTCGCACGTCGCGACGCTTTGCTTCATCTGGCACGTCTCTGTTTTGGCACCGTGTCCTCCTCCCGCAGTCCACGTTTGATAGTACGGAAGTAGACGGGTTCGAGCGCGAACAGCTATATGAAACGTCCACGTCTCAAGCCTGCACTCGTAGCCAGGCTTGCAGGACGCGTCGTGGGACGTCGTCACCGTCTGCATCTTTGTCGTCGTCGTCGTGTCCGAGTACGATGCCGACAGCTCAACGTTGGCGGATGGGCCGTCCTTGGCTCCAAACGTCCCGGCGACCCTGGCGCCGACGGTCCAGCCCTTGCTCTCCATTTTGGAATTCATGGTGGACTTGGCGATGCTCAGCTTGAGGTCGCCTGGCCCTGGATTGATGTCGCCTGTTTCCACGTGGGGGATGTAAAATGCCCTCTTGCTGATTGTATCGTTGGGATAGATGCTTGCTTCGTGCCAGAACTGGACCTGCTCTCCTTGAAAGCTCAGCAGGACATCGGGGCAGGTATGTTGCCACGCCTGGGGGGATACGAATCGCGGCGGCGATTCTTCGTTGATGGCAATCTTTTCGAGCCGATCGAGCAGTATCTGGCCCAGGTACGTGGCATTATAGTCCTGCTCGTCCGCTCTCGTGCTCACCGTGGGGTGAGCGCTTGCCGCGAGAGCCAAGCCGAAAGAGAGAGTTGCACACGCCTTCATTTTTGCAAGTACGTCAACAGGTGCGGAGGCTGTAGCGTAGTCGTTCTTGGAAATGTCTTTGTGCCGTACAAGCCAGTTTGTGAGGAGTAAGACGAGTGATGGAGTCTGGAGGAAAGGAGGGTGAACAGAGGCTTAAAATACCGTCAATGCCATCCGCATCACCACGTATACGTTCCGAGTTGAACGTTCCGAGTTGAACGGCTGCATCTGCCAGTCCTCTGGTACGACCCGGCGTCTCAACTTACGATTCATCTCAACCTGGTCATCAAAGGTCCCGTTCGAACAGGCCGGTGGCTCTAAGCGATGAAGAGAAGAGCGTCTCGACCACTTCCGCGCCCGACGCTTCGCCCGGATCCGCCCCTGCTGCGGCTGTGCTCACGGCCGCAGCGAGACTCTTTGTAGCCGGTGCGGTTCTCGGCTCGTATTTCAGCCTGTATAAATGGGTCCCCGTGATGGGTTCACCAGCCCGAGGTTGAATCAAATACAACTGCATTCGTACAAGACCCGCTGGTAAATTATGCCGCATAATAGTATCAAGTCACTAGCAATAGTAGGCCTCCAGCAAGCGAAGCAATTCATCTACTATATCACGCATTGCATGCACCAATGAGGAAGGACACTTGGTCGTGCCTAATCATCTCTTGGTTTGCTAATATAACCTAAGTAGTGGCTATCGCGGCGTCAACGCGGTTTATACCGTGTCACCGAGCGGGGCTGGTTCGAGTTCGGGCCTGGATCTGATATGAGCAATCATCCGATCCTCAATGTTCTGGTCTCTCAAGTATTATCCAACAACGGTTCGATACCTTTGATCTCATTCTAAATTTTGATACCTAGTCAAGGGTCGTAACCATGAGTCTTAAACAAAACCATAATAAATCAAAGGCCTGGAAGACAATATCAATTGCGACTTGAGATGATTATTCATAAAGAGAGCAAGATGTTCCAAGCAAAGTCGTTTCCTTACATGGAATTTTGCAAAAACCTGTACCCTTTTCATGAGCTATTCTTGCAAGCCTTCCTTGACTCTGCATCTAAGCAAACCAGCAGTTGTAGCAGGATCTCGGGCAGAAACCAGATAGGCTACCTGTCACGAAAACAAAGGTACGAATGGCATGCAGCCCCGTCGCAATGCTTGGCGCTACACTTGATATTTTGTTCTAGACGCCGCGTGGCCAGATTGCCAACTGCTAGCCCAACTTCCTTGTCTCATTTTACCTGCCGCATTATTCCGGAGCGAGGCAGTGTTGCCGTGTATGACATTGAAGGCGGCCACCGGGTGTAGCCCAGTATGCAAGAGTCTCGTCGTCCCAGTTGTAACACCGTATGCCCTCATCTAATAAAGACGAACAGATTTTTTCGAAACTACTCGTTTTATTTGCCCTTACATGTACGTCGGTAATTGTCACACGGAAATGGCCTTGGTTACACAATGGCTTCAATCACGCGACCTAAGACAAAGCCCCTCACCGACTTTTTATATTTAAAGACGTCTTTGGTTATTAAGACCCTGAGGAAAACCAAAGACCTTTGATACCAAAGACTGTTATTAGATGAATTAAGCTATTGACTCCAAGTCCTCTACCGAGCCCTTGTCACACATCGCCAGGACGCGGCCCATGACAATTGTCCAGCGACCGCCACACCATGTGTGACAAGGGCTCAAGAGGGCTTGGAGGAGATGGCTTAATTCATCTAATAACAGTCTTTGGTATCAAGGGTTCTTGGTTTTCCGTGAGGCCTTATTGAAAACTTTTTAAATACAAGGATTCTGTGAGGGACTTGACCTTGGATACCGTCATCGTAGCCCTTGAATAACCGTGTGATATTGGGCCACTTCCGTGTGACACCATGCTCGTCAACTCCAAGGCTCTGGAGGTCTTTGACATCACAGCCAGCACCCTTAATCCGTACGGCGGCATCATCAACCGTGTTGCAGGCAGCCGGGAGCCTCTTCCAGGTCACAGAGAAGGAAGACGGTCGGTCCTCGCGTGGCTTCTTTGACAGCATGGTCAATGCCACCAAGCCCACTGTGACGAGGGCCTTACGAGGCTCAGAACATAAAGGTTCAGATTCATAGATAATATCAAAGAGTGTCAAGGGTCCTCGTTTTCTAAGAGGAAGGAAGGGACTAGTGACCGCTATATATACGTGAAAGAAACGCTCGTGCCTAGACCCATACCCAGGCACGTGTTCTAGTCGTGTAACCAATAAGTCCCCGATCGGAGGGCCTCTTTGTTGGGCTCGCGATCTTGTTGGGCTTTCTCCGTGTAACACAAGCATTGAAAAGCGCTGGGAAAGATTTGAAAGCCAAGTCGCCCATCTAAAGCACTAGCAATAGTTATACGGCTGTCCTGATTCTGGAATATGGGTCTATGGGAAAGTAGGAGTCTCTCATTTTGGGCAGGCTATTTCGACAGCCCTCTTGTGTGACAGATAATAACTTCCACGCAGCCCAATGCTACGAGATCCCGTGGCGTGTCATGCATAGGTAGTCTGCTCCATCTAACGGGTCTTGTCTATTTTTTACAGCAAAATGTATGTGGCAATGTTTGCTATATTCAGTGGTTGCTTCTCCTCCCATCTCAGTCGTAGCCTGCTTCTGTCAACACCTCGGTCCCCGCAAACGCATATGAGACATCAGCTTCGCAATAGCACATATGAGGGATATACCGGGGAAGACTCCGGAAATGCCGTTTAGGTGGGAGCGAACAATTTTAGACGGCCTTTTATGCCACCACCTCCGGGTGTTGCGCCTAACTTTGTTAACCCTGGGAGCTCGAATTCCCAAGGCTGCGGGCAATCTCCGGATTTAAAAGCTGCGAAAGCGCAGCGCGGACCCAAGATCTAAGCATGGTCGTTTTACCTTACTTACTACTATACTTGATCCAGCGCTGGATTTACAATTATTGCCTGACGCATCGATGGGAAAGTGCTCTGCGAGGAGAACGAACAGTAGATGCCAATCAGGTTCGGACAAGGTGGAAAAGGGGGAACCCGTAAAAGTAAATAGGTAAAAAAAATAACCTGTAATTGGTAGGTGCCTATAAATCTAGGTAGGTAAGAATAGGTGCCCACATAAGACCCAACTCTCTCATCTAGTATGTGATGACTTATTCGTAAATCTTTCAAGTCTTAAATAGGCATCTATTCTTACCCATTTAAATTTATGGGTTTTCCTTGGGTACCCACGAGCCTTGTTGGCCTCTGAGATGGGAGTGAACTCACCCCCTCCCTGTCTTCTCCGTCTTTTCGGCCCGTCCAACCGTGACGCTATATAAGAGGACCCTTAATGTCTTAGCCGGCACTGCAGACCCGCCCGTTAATGACATGGATGTCAACGGTCTTGGCCGGCTCCGCAGACCCGCCCGTTAATGACATGGATGTCAACGGTCTTGGCCGGCTCCGCAGACCCGCCCGTTAATGACATGGATGTCAACGGCACTAGCAGCGGCCCGGCCCGAGCCCCCCCGGCCCTGAGAGCCCCGTTTTCGACCTCGTGGGCGGTAGCGGCGGGCACAACTGGAATGACGCCTGCCAAGTAAAGAATTGTATGAGTGGCTGGTCGGGATACAATGCAGGCTAGTGCTGCGACTTTCAGATGTTTTTTGTGGATCTCCTGGTAGCCTCGAGGAATCCCTATTCGGCTTTTCCATCGCCCTGGAGACGACGACCGCAGTTGTCGTATCCAAATGGGGCGAGAGAATCCCCATGCAGCTCATGCAGCCGCATAAAGGGATACAGAGCGGTTGTAGAATCACAGGGCTCGTATCTTGAGTTGAGATAGCATCTAAAGCGGAGATCGTAGCATGTCCAAGGACCAGTCTCTGCCTTGTCGGTCGGCAAAGACATCTTCTGACATACTAGTTAAGCAGCTCTAGAAGCAGGCACGTCCAACTGGTAAGATGAAATCAATTGATAGCTCTTGGCAAGGAGGCGCCCCTGGAACCTCCATGCCCGCTTATTCCACTGCCATCTCTCGGTCTTGATTACAGGTGGCCGGTGAAGCAGCAAGTGAGCTCCGCCGGCGCAGTGGGAGACCTATTTCTCCGGCCGATGATCCTCGTCTAGGGCTAATAGGCCTGTTCGAGCATTGGGGTCTTGGCGGAGCAGAGGTGAGAGATGGCGTTGCCGTAGATCAGTTGCATTGCACGCGCGTTGAGGTTCAAGGAGTGGCTGCTGTCTTGGACAGTGCAAATGTGACAAGGGCTTGACTAAAGGGCTTGGAGCAAAAGGGCTCAATTCAATGATAATCTCGTAGGATGTCAAAGGTCCTGATTTGCTAAGAGGAAGGAAGGGAATAGTAACTGTTATATATACATAAAAGGAACTCCTATACCTAGGGCTCTTACCCAGACACGTGTTTAAGCTGTGTAACTAAAAAGTCCCATATCGGTAAAGCCCCTTTGTTGGGCTTCACGATCTGTTGGGCCTTTTCCGTGTAACAGTAAAGGGCTCCTTCAAAGTCTCGTAACAGTCGTCTTCAATAGGGAGCTTTCCCGTGCAGCGACCGTCGTGGTGTCCCTTGCACAGCTGTGGAAACTCTTGAATGGGGTTCCTCTTGTTTTCCCAGCAGCAAGACATCTTCCTAAAACCCTGTTGCACTGCTCAGGGGGCACAGCAGCCGACATCTGGGCTGTGGTCCGTTGCAAGGGCAGTCAGGACCAGGAAAAACTTGCATCGCTCGAGGCCCGGACGATTCCAGACAACACGCCATCTACGAGTGAGCTTTTCCCCCTCAGCTTTGCGGCCCACCGATGTGTGTCCATGCACCTACCAAACGAGGTGATATGGGGCATCTTTACTGTGAACTGGCTGCAAATTGGGCAGAGTATGGCACAAATCCGTCAAAATGCGACTGGTTCCTATAGTCTGCGCCCGCGTCCCCAGAATTTATCGCTCGCTCGCTAATCGCAACGACAAGTATAATTGTTTGGTGTCTAATAGCCGGTCGTCTTCTTTAACAGACACTATATAGCTCATATATTCTTGCTTGCTTCTATTTAGTGACTATACAATGCGAATAAATTACACATTAATTCCAGCTGATTACCAATCGCATCTTACACGAATTAGAAACTGGAGAAGCCGTTAACCATGAGTTGCAATCAAAGATTCAGTAAGGAACGTCTTCTCTTTCAACTCTATCCAGCTACACTCCCGAGTCCGACACGCCATGAATACAGCGAACATATTACTCTCCAGCGCCATCGAAAGTCACATCCCTGATATTTATTTCATTTGTGCAACTGCCAAATATCACTACCCATCCTATGGCAGAGGCAGGATAACTGGGCTTAGAACAGAGGTTTCAATTTAAACTATAGTAATTAACTTTTGGTTATTTTCTTGTCTTAGCACGAGGCTCTAAGGGATAAAAGGTCCCTATAAATACAAGAAGTCAGTAAGGGCTGTGTGCCTGAGGCAGCCCTTACGTTTGACCGACTTTGGGCCTCGTGACCGTTGCCTTTGTTGGCCTAACGCCCTTTCTTGTGTGCCAACCGTGTAACACCTCCTGCGGCACCTACACCAATCATTTTAATACTTCTCCCCTTGAAACTCATATTGCTCATTTCCCCTGCTCCAGGCTTTGCTTGCACAAGCAGGGGATGATGCTGCACAATATTGGATATGAAAGCCAGTAAGAAACCACCTCCAGGCAAGCATGGTGATCCATGCCCAATCGAGGGCACGGCAAGATACAAGGCTCAACTGCAACATATAATGAGTGGCGCCAGCATACATGTCTTTTCGTGCAACACAAGGCAACAAAGGGGTAGCCTTAGCTGCTGATGTGATAAAATGCCGAGAGATGTTGCCCAAGTTTCTGCGTCGTCCAAATTTCTTCTCCTATCCCCTCCTCTCCCGGGCTTCAATCACGGCCGTACGAGACGCCTTTCCATTCTCGCCCACCAGCACAGAAAGCCATGACTGAGAAAGGAACTTGGCTCGGGCCACTTACAACAACGTGGACAATGCCGTCCACCTGCACGCTGCTGTATCCGTGGCCAGACTACTGGAATTCGACCATGTACGCATATCGCGGCCAGCGCTGTGACACGAGTGTGGGACCCAAGGATGGTAAAGATTGCTGGCCTCCTCGAAGGAAAGAAGTCCAGGACAAAGAGTCTGCCATCGGCGGCTGGGGCTTTTACTCTCCCGGTCTGGTTTGCCCTGCCGGGTACACGACGGCATGCTCGGCCACTGGGTCGCAAAGAGCAGACTGGGGTTTTCAATTTTCCATTTTGCCGGCAGAGACGGCTATAGGTTGCTGTCCAACGTAAGTCCCATTCCAAGACGCCTCGAGTGCCGTGCGGCATTGGCATTGACTCTCTCCGCCCGCGCAGTGGTTATACATGCACAAGCTGGACTTCACAGGGAAACACGTGCTTTGCTGTTCCCACCAAGACGACAGTCACGACGGCAACCTGCGGACCGAGCGGTATTTCCGAAGAAGGCTCCTATGTTTTCCCTGCTACTGTGCCTGTCCAAATTACCGGCAATGTCTCGTCGACTATTGTGACGTTGTGGGCACCCATGTTTCAGCTCAATTTTGAATCTACAGATTTGAAGCCAGCTACTACACTGCCTAGCTCAACTAGTACGCCGTCAGAAACCTCGACTGAATCCTCGACGACTTCTTCTCTATCCGAGGGTGCGATTGCTGGCATAGCTGTTGGCACCGTTCTGGCTGGGATTATCCTAGGCATCGCGGCCACTCTGCTTGTTCTTCGTTATCGGCGAAACAAGACGCTATCCAACAAAAGTCAGTTGGCATATGGAGATGCCACCGCTTACCAACTAGCGGCTCAACCAGGAGCAGAAGTTCACCAGTATCAAGGTGGCGGCATAACAGAGTTTCACGAGGTGCAAGCTAAGAATAAGCCTGTCGAGTTATCTGCGCAGATGTAAGTCTATTACAGCAGCGGGCATCTAATCGTTGCAAAATTCACTTCTGATTCCTTTTATTTGGCTGCTGCTGGAAAATTGTCTTGTTGTCCAGTAGGCTCCTCTTTGACCGGCTCTGGGGTTAGGGTTAGGTAGAGTCTGCTATCTAGGCTGGTCTGTCTCACTGGTTCTCTAAAGATGAATGCAAATTGATAATGCGTACTTCTATTAGCTTGCATTCTGTACACTATTCCTTCAAAAAATGAAGACTTTAGGCCAGCTTCTGCATTGACATAGAGGCAGCTGGCTAGTGGGGGCACGGCGGCGAAATGAAAGGACCCTTATGGGTGGGGATCCACCAGTCTAGCAAAGAGACTAGGTCAGAAAGACGGAAGCATTAACTGAAGAGGGGAGACTAAAATTGAAATATAACGTTCAAAGTCTATAAAGTAGTGGAAGCACGTCTTTAGGGTCCCGCCAATCTAGGAAACAGCGCTCCCAGAAGTCCCCAGAAGACATCAAGAACCGGACTCAACGTAAAGTATGGCTTGACATACGACCAGTTCAGAGCCAGCTCGGGAGCCGTAATTCATTGTACGAGCCTGTCAACAAATGCAGCCAGATAAAACCGGCCTCTTGGGATCGAATAAGAGAATCCGAGTTGACGCCCAACTAGGTCTAGTGCCCTTGGCAACTGGCCCACTTGCTAGTATTCACTCAATTCAACCCCACACCCGGTGGTTGCAGATTTTGCTCCTGTTTAAAGCACTAACCAAAATCCCAACACTTGACCATCATCTATACCTAAATCATCTCATAATAACCCAAGCTCAAGTCCAGAACCTGTAGGACTAAAAAGTTTCAGCGGCAGAAATTTCGTGCTCCAAAGTGGGATGGCCACAACACAAGAGCATCATATCGACATTCCAGGCCATGGTATCCCCCACCAGGGTGGCGATCAACTCA